ATTTCGCTCTATCAAAAACCGATCCGTCAAATATTCTCAAATTTTGAATATATTTTAACATTTGGACAATTTAAATTGGGTTGGCCATGAGCCATGCTTTAATTCCACCATATTATCGTTTACCTGTATAAACATTGCTTTAATAGGTTAAATTCATACACATGTATATAGTTATTACATACTTATATGTAGTTATATTTATTTCAAAACCGGTGAAATGATATTTAGCCCTTCTCTGCTTTCGAATCTAACATGTGTCTGCCCTTGGTACCCATTCGACCAAGACCTCAATTGGGAGACAGGTCCTCAATTCCCAGACTGATCAGCATCAAGAAATGATCGTAATCAAGCTAAGATCTTTTATTATTTGTTTTTGATTTATTTCGTATACTCAATATATATTCAAGACATTTTAGTAGCATGTTTATGGACAAAGGTAATAGTTCCCCTCATCAGGAACGAAAGGAATAGGTTTTCGCTTCCAAAATCGGTAGAACTTCCTGTAAGAGTCATCTCCCGGAAACGGACCGAATACTTTCAAAAAATGAATGAACTTTTCTTCAAGGCCCAGGCTTGATCTATCTGTCCGCTTTTTTTTAACTAAAAACCTTTTCAATGCATATAGTGTACTTCTTGATTTCATTTATCTGAAAACTATTTCAAAATATATAGTTTTTTGTACATCTTGAACCGAAGACTAGAATTCATATTATTAATTTTGTAGCCGTAATTTCGACTTTCGACTTTTTTTTTGACTTTTTAAAATCTCAAATGAAAAAAACTTAATAGTTAAAACTGGAAGTTCTAACGCCTCGTCATTCTTCCACCAAAAAATACAAACTTTGCCTGATTTTTGCCCAATATCAAGGGAGAGTCCCCTTAAGTATGAAGCAAATAAAAAATCGTTGACAAAGGGCAACTAATTTTTATTGAGTCTGATATTTTGAGACTTAGTGATCCACTTATTTTTGTAAAAATGTTTTTATTCAAGCGAAATAATGTGTTACTTGCCAAACGTATAAACAACTCATATACATATATATACTTTTATATAAGAAACGTTAACTGTTTGACAATTCAAAAACACATTTTGGAAAAAAAAGGTTTCTTATTTACAAAAAAAGTTCAACACCTATTTGTTTAGAAAAAAGCAAAAAACTACTGTTTACTTAACTAATTATGTGAGAGACCTTCAAGAGGTGCATAAACTTCTCTATTGTTCTTTGCGCACATTTAAGTAAGTAAAGAGATATATATGCGTATATATATATATATATATATATATAGATACGTACATATGTGCATGCTTATATTTAAGCAAATGTGCTGGTTTCTGTTAAACATGCAGCACATACATATTTATGTATAAAAAACCATCGGTGTGTCTTAGAATATATGTATGTTAATGCGTATACATTGTATAAAACATATGAGTATTCAGTCAGATAAATACAACAAGTTATCGATAGCCTTGGCACTTTAAATAGCATACTATTCGCAAGTGCTGAAAGTATGAATGGGAATGCTGGCAAAACTTTTAGCACACAGCTTTGAAGCTGAAAACACTTGCAAATATATATTCTGTATTCTGTATTGACTAGAAATATTTTTTATTCTATTCTTTATCATTTGCACGAAAAAAAATTCACAAAATATTGTATTTGCACTTAAAATATATATATATGTGTTTGTACAATCTGTTCTTTGCTGAAACTGAAAGAGCTTGCAATGAAGATCGAGACATGTTGGAAAATAAAATAATTAGAAATAGTAGACTGGCATATGGGTAAGTATTGACAGATATGTGTTTTATTATTTTTATATGGCATATTTGAATTGCATATACGTGTATATCCATGTGTACGTGTGTGTAGCATATCTCACTTGGCCTTGAACTCAGCGACATTGCACGCTGTACACGCGGTCGTATACGTAATTATATTTTTATTATTAAAATGAATTTATTACAAGTAATTTAAGTAACTGTGTGAGTTCGTTACTTGATGGGAATGACTAATGCATCAGTTGCTGGAAATATGCAGCGACTTAAGTCCACTCATTTCATATCTTTCATGCATTTATTTGTTCAGGCAGGAAGGCATAATTTATATGGAAATATATGAGCATACGACGTTTTTCTGCTTAATCCGAATTATATTATATAAAATGACATATGCTACAATGTGTATTGCAAAATATGAAGTAAATTTGAAGTACCATCGATTATACCAGACGCTTAGAACGACATTTAGTTTAACACTTAAGACGATTATATTTTTTTTTGACATTTGAGTATTTAATGTTGACTGCAATATTTTCATCTTTTTTTAAGCCTTCTGGCCGCCCTTCATCTTAAACGAAAGTTTTAAAGTCTGTTTATTTCAGATCATTTTTAAAAGATTATTTTTCTGACTTAATCAGCGCTGTCGATAAGTTTTCAATTAATTTTTTTAGAATTTAATTTTTTACTTCTAGCTAAATGTATGTTGCTTTCAGAATCTTGAGTGACCTTAGACGGCGGCAATAGCCGAATAGTTAACATTCTTAAGGCCAGAGTTTGAGAGCTCAGTCCACATAAGAAACTTTAGAAAGTTTTTTTTTTTTAATTGAGATTGCCCCGAATCAAGACATACCACAAATTTGGTGGAAGCGTTCGGTCGAAAACTACTTCGACGGGTACAAAGCAATAATTATATATATGCATATACAAGCAGACATGGCCACACACTGTTGTCGCTTTCCGTAATTTGTAGAAATTTTATTCTCATTGATGTTGCAAAGAATAACAGAAACTCATTTATAGAGCTTAATACATATAATAACATATATTAAGTTTTATTTTATTATTTTTCTCACTACTCAAAGCCTGTTACGTTAATGGCAATCGGATCTATGCTTGAACGTATTAGAATAGCTTGTAACCCGTAGCCTCAGCCGTATTGCGCAGCAAACATACTTGTCCGACATACAAAAATTTTGACAAAAATAAATAAATAAAATAAAAAATAAGGGTTGATTTAAGAAGGGAGAAAAATTAATGTTGGCTGTATTTTGTAATGCCATATCATAAAAAATAAAAAACAAACATTTTGAACCAAAAAAAAAAAAAATAAAAATATATGTGGACTACCCTTATCACTTTAAAGATTCGATGGTATCGTTGATTGTGTGTCAAAACAATACCAATCCATTCCGGCTATAAAAAATTATTAATCACCTCTCGATATCGCAATTAACTTGTTCTGCTCTGTTGTTCTGTTCGATGACCGAAAAAAGTTTTAGTTCTACAAACTGTCTCTGCCAGTTTTTCACTATTTTTATAGTGAATTATGTATATATATATATATATATATGATTGGCGCTTTGTAACCGATGAAGCGATTTTTCGGCCAAGATCATCCTCCAATTTGTGGTTTTGCGTCTTGATGTTTTTCCAACAAAGGGCTCAATTATGTTTATAGTATATATTTATGTAATATATAAAATTCTCCTGTCACAGTGTACGAGTACATACTCCTTCTTAACGGCATGACCGATTTTGTTGAAATTTTGTATGTATATTCGTTAGGTCTATTTATCAAATTGTGAAGTGGACCTGGGACTGATCTATTCGAAAAAATCTTATTTATAGTTCGATTTACTTGAAATGCGGACAAGGGTAAAATCTATTAAACAATTTTATTTTATAGTTTCATGTTCTTGTAATTTGAAACATAGATAACCTTTTGCTTAGTTTAGGAGGAACATCGCTTTTGTGTCCAAGACTAATACCTAGGACTGATTTATTCGAGAAAAATCCTTTCTAAAACTTGAATTAATATATAAAAATTTTCGGAAGTGGACCAAGAGTCACCGAGCAGATATTTGATTTGATTGGTACATTCCATAACCCAATAGATGGCATCATTTGTCGGCTGAAGCAGAAGATTTGTTGGAAAGCACGCTTCTGCATATTCGGGATCCGTTTCCATGCATTTAAGTGCGTAAAAGACGAGCGATTAAGTAAAGTGTGCAATGGCAATTGTTGGTATGGGCTGCCTGAAATTTTCTTATCTGAAATTGCTTAGTTTAATTTAAGTAATTTTATAAAAATTGCTCATGCTCACGTGCTGAAAACCCGTCTTTGTTGTGTGTTCTTGCTTGCTGATGAAGTTCTATCAAATAATTCGCATTCAAATTTGAACTACCTACATATATTTTGTTATCACTCCTAATGTAATTTAAAGTCATGTAATTAAGGCGAGGCAAAGTTTGCTGGGTCTGCTAGTATACATATATATTTTAAACAAAGTATTTTAACTAACTTCATTTTTGAAAGTTATTGGAACAATATTGTATATATATTATATATATACAACTGGCGCTTTCTAACCGCTGAAGCGATTTTCGGCCGAACTCCTCCTCCTATTTGTGGTATTAGCGTCTTGAGGTTTTTCCAACAAAATGAAGGGACTTACAGTTTATAAGAAGTCGCCTCCGAACGGCTGATAGGTTTTTATGAGGAGCTTTATTTCATATCCGGAATACACTGGCAGGGAAATTTCATCGAATATTTTAAAGAAATTTTGAACCTTAAAAATTATATTTAAACATTATCTTTACGATAAGAATTCTTGTTTTTTGTCGAAAGCAGTATTTACTTTTCAAAGTAACATATTTTAGTGCGATGCGGTAAGGCGATGCGGTAAGCTTTCAATATAAGTTTAAGTTAATTACACAAATACTTACTATAAATTATAGTATATTTATTGAATTTTGTAAAATACCTGAAAACAGAAGGAAAAGAAAAGTTAGTTGAGGGAATTTGATTTTATAAAAATAAGTAAATAAAATTCAAATATATACATATATTCCTAACAATAAAAATTTGTTTATTTACAGTACCTACTGGTACAACCCTTACAAAGCTGCTCTGCTGTAAACGACATTTTTTCGAAATATCAACTTTTTCGGAGTAGAATGGTGAAAAAATTATAACAGATCAAAACCAAAAAAAAAAAAATTATTGTATATTTACGTATTTACAATACAAATAAATTTTTCAGACAAACTTCAATATTTTTCGAAGAAATGTCCGCGCTACCTAAGGTCGACATAGACCAGCCGAAATTCGATCAGAGCACTTACGTTGGACGATGCAAGCATTTTTTCCTGCTCACCAACCCATTGAACTTACTCGCCAGCGACGCAAAATTGAAACGCGCACAGCGCATCGTTAAGAATTATCGCGCCGGCAAAGATGTATCGAATGATGTAAGCAGCTTGGACGAATTGTGGCGCGCCAAATATGTATACGACTCTGCATTTCATCCAGAAACTGGCGAGAAATCACCACTTATCGGACGCATGTCAGCACAGATGCCAATGAACACCATCATAACCGGTTGCATGCTTTCTTTTCACAAGAGCACCGGCGCAGTCGTCTTCTGGCAGTGGTTCAATCAGACCTTCAACGCCATTGTCAACTACACCAATCGTTCGGGTACATCTATGCTGACCACTGGTGATTTATTGAAATCTTATTGTCTAGCTACCGGCGGCGCATTGGTCACCGCCTTGTCACTGAAACGTCTTACGGCGAATATGCCGGCACTTATGGGTCGCTTGGTGCCATTTGTGGCCATATCGGCGGCGAATTGTATTAATGTGCCGATGATGCGCTTACGGGAAATACGTAACGGTGTAGTGTTGCTAAATGATCAGGGTCGCGAGGTGGGCGCATCCAAGCGTGCCGCAATTACGGGTATAGCGCTTGTAGTGCTGAGTCGCATTTCAATGGCAATACCGGGTATGACCTTCACGCCATTTTTAATGGATAAACTGGATAAGCCGGGTAAGCTACTCAATCGTAAGCCTTGGCTAAGTCCACCACTGCAGACAGCAATGTGCGGTCTTCTTTTAATTTTTGCAACACCGATGGGATGTGCTTTGTGGCCGCAAAAAATGAGCCTCAGAGTGGAGAGGCTGGAGTCTGAGGTGCAAGAAGATCTCAGAAAAAGATATCCAGACCTGAAGGTGGTTTGGTTTAATAAAGGTTTGTGATGAGGACTTCTGGCAAAATATGGGCATATGTAATACATAACACTCTCTGGGATTGAGAAGGATATGAAGGTATTTTTTGTTATGTTTCCAAGGCTGGTTGATATTGATAAATCTGTTTTCTAATATATGTTGGTTCCATTGTATTTTTTAGATTTCTTCTCTGTAAACGTGAAAATCTTTGGGATAACGATTAAATGATTGTGGTTCGCACGAAAAAAGTGAAACTGGGCTTTTGTGCGTTTCAACAAGAATTTTCCACAATTTTGAAAATATCGACGCAAATCCAAAAAAGTACATAGTAGTTATTGTATGGGATCCCCTGCTCTCAACTTAAATTTTTTTTTTATTTTTAAACTCAAAATTATTCGCGGATTTTCTAATTTTTTCAAAACAAACATTGTGACACCCATAGCAGCCCGAATTGACCTTCAGGAGATTGGTTTCAATCTGTTTTAGTAATTATTTCGATTCCTATTATGACAAAAATTCCAATTCTTAATTATTGCCTTTTCGATTCTTATTTGTTGGCTCTGATGTAATGACATTGAAAACAGAGTTTTTGCATTAGGTAAATTTTTTTAACCAGAGCAAACTACGATATTTTCACTTATATTATCAATTTTTATTATAATTCCTTTTTTTATTCACATAGTCATAAAAGTGACTGCATAAAACCGTTATTAAAATTACGATAGGATTTTTCCTATTTTAGTTTTTTTCAATAAAGATATCTGATTTGTTCATTCATTTTCATTTGTGGTGCAACCACAAAAATTGGCAGAAACTGTGAATGAAGCATGTAATGGTTGCGTTGAAATAGAGGAGACCACGAAGAATATACATACATACATACGAATATTTTGTATATATGCTACAAAAACACAAACAAATTAAAAAAAAACTCAATGACAAACGAGCAGTGAAAAAACGCACTTCAACCGAAAAAACAGAACGCAAAGAATTGTAGCTAAAATTAAAATTGAATAGGAACACCAACAAAAAGCCAACATGACAAAACCGCAAACAAATGGCAGAGAAACAGTAAAATATGTCCAAAAAAATTTCTCCAAAAAGATAAAATAAAATTTGAATAAAGAAAAAATAGCAAAAGGCTGTGTACACGGATATGCAGATACATATGAGCCAAGTACATGTTCTCACTTCTTGCTGCCACATACCACACATATGTGCATGTATGTATGTCAACAACTAGTGTCGTACCGCATTTTCAGTTGGCGGTGGATTAAACGCCAACACACTGCTACTAAGTGACACTTTACGCACGCGTGCATTGCATGCCTCACGAATCAGCTGCCCTGCCTACATAGCAGTAGTCATCCCGCAGGCGTAAATGCAACGCATTGTCAAGCGGCTTAAGTTGTCGCGCCACGCCACGGCATGGAATAGCGTAGCGGGTAGGTAGGAGGTAGTGACAGAAGTGCGAAATATTGCAACAATTCACATTCTCTTGTTGAGGCGACATTCCTTTTTTATTGCCTGCGTACTTGACATGCTTTTTTAATATCTCCTTCCTTGTGTTTCGTATTTTAACCAATTTTTTTTTGTTTCTGCAACTCTTGAGCCTTTGATTAATTGCGCGTGCGCATCAAAAATTGTTTCTGTTTTTAGTCCTCAAAGTTAAGGCACATTTCTATGGCTTGTCCTTTTTCACTTTTTGTTTTTATTTTTAACGCTTGTGACAGCTTGTGGACTTTTATAAAAACTAGATCTAAACTTTTCAAACTTTAGTGCGACTCTTGAAGGGAGATTTATTTTTTGTTGATTTTTTATATATTTCAAGGGGCCCAGTGAAACCTATTTAACGAAAGAAGTGATAGATTTTGTTTTTATTTACTATAAATGTGTGTAAATATGTACGTGAGTATATGCATATATATAATTGGCAATTTGTAACCTCTGAAGCGATTTTCGGCAGAACTCCTCCTCCAATTTGTGGTGGGTGTTTTTTACCTATAATATTCTGAGCCGCCTACGAAAGTCCTATGGGTTTTATGAGGAAGTTTCATTTCATATGAGAAATACACTCAGAGGACCTGCATTTACTTCTAGAGGGGCGACCGCAATTGGAAAATTTAACTTAATTTTTTATTTAACGTAATTTTCTATAATTTTTATTTATATATATTTACATATTTTCCATTTAATTGCCTTTTTTAAAAGAAGAATTTATTTTTACCAAGTAATTTGTATAAATTCAAAATTTGATAACTTAAGCTTTAAGCTTTAAATTTTTGTTTTGACGACTTATTTTATAAGTTTGAAATTATAAATATTACTTTGATAATGAAGTATTTCATTAGAGTATCAAACCAAGGCTGCATCGTAACGATTTATTTTACACTAATCAATAAATTTCCATCGCAGCGGTGGAAACATTAAAAAATGATACCATTAAAGCAGTCAGCAGCGGTTGTATTTAGCCGAAGTGAAAACCTGTCGTTAATGTTAAATCGTTAACAGATATGTTAAATGTTAAAACTGATCTGTGCTGTTAAATCATAGCAGCCCTTTTATAATTAATATTTACAGCGAGTTTGTGTGGTTTCTGCATTAATAATTTAATTTTGCTTAAAGGAAACAAAATCTTTTCGGTAAGTTAATTTTTTTAAATTAAGAGAACGAAACGAAATGACATTGTATGGTTAATTGAGCATTGAAAAGGTAAGCGAAATACTGGTTACAGATTAAAAGTTTTCTAGAGAAGTGGCCACCTGTTTAAACATTTTAAATTACTAGTAATGAATAAACATAAAAAAAAATTAGTATATAACTGAGTATAAGACATGGACATATATGAAAAAAGAAAGTAAATTTCAAATGTTTTACAATTTTTAGCTAAAAATTTTGAGAATCATAACTTTGGAGCTGTTATCAATAGTCCCTTTCTTATTTTGCGAGCTTAACTTTATCTTTCTTTTAAGATCATCTAAACGCTTAAATATTTGTGAAACGCTTTTAATACTCTCATCGCCAGCTTTGCTTCCTTTGACTCCTTTCGCTGACTCAAAACGTACTTATTGAAAGTTTTTTTAGTTGAGTAAATTACTACTCCTCTTTCCCATGTAGTCTATATTAGCTGATCAGTAATTCTGAAGATGTTTAGCGTAAAAAGCGAGTGACCGCTCTATTGAATTTTTCAATTATCCTTCAGGCGCGCACCTCGGTCAGTTGGGTGGGAAAAAAATATAAAAAATATCAAAAACCCTTAGGTGAGGAAACCTTGTAAGATATTTACATCTTATTAATTGTCTTCTCTCGTTTGAAAATATCCCAAGATCGCTTTCGAGATGTAATAGCAATCGTAACATAAAATTTTCATTAAGCGAAAAAAGAATTGCGTTACCTTATATGCAATTAAACTCGTAGTCACTTCTTAATTGAAAAGTTTGAACAATTTTAACAATTCAAAGTAACAACAACAAAAAACAACAATCAAAAGGTCGTTTGATAGAATCAAGCCCATACTAAAAATACGCAATGCAATGCCAACCAATATGGCCAGTGTATAGAACACATTTACTCTTCAAAAATGAAAAATTGAAATTGAATAAAAAACAAGCTTGACCGCTTAGCCGAAAATGATTTTTTTTTTCAACAATTATTGTTGTTGTGGAAATAGTTGACGATACGGCTAATACGACAGCTGATCGACTGTTGTTGTTATTGTTATTATTATTGTTTGTTGTTATTGCTTTTATTGCTGATATTGCATTGGCCGTTTATACTAGTATTGCTGATGTCATTGTTGTTGTTGTTGTTGTTGTTGTTGTTGTTTTGTAGTTGTTATTATGACTATTGCCAATGCTATGCCGTTGTCATCGACGGTCAATCAGCAAATCAACCAAATTTGGTCAGAGCAACATTTTGATGTAACAAATATGTCACCGCTGCTGCGTATTTATTATTATTTTCATTCTTATTGCACCTTTTATTAAGCTACGGTTATTGTTGCTGTTGCTGTTGTTTTGTTGTTGTTAACGTTGATTTTTATTTTATTGGTTGTCATGTGCGGTCTGCAATGCGGCCTCGTGTGTCTGTTTTTCTGATTTTCGCCTCACCAAACTCACAAGTATGTGTGTATATGTGTGCGGCATGTAATATGATGCATTTGGCGCGCAATCGGTGCATAGTTTCGCTTTTCATAGCTGGAACACAAGCTGCTGGTGGCATATAGCAACGACCAAAATAAAAAGAATTGTGCTTTTATTTATATATACATATGTATAAGGAACGTTGTAAATACATATATGTATGTATGCAAGTATGTTCATATAGGAGCCGCCATTGCCGCTACTTGGATTGCATTGCCGCTGCCTGTGGCATTTGTGGCAACATACGCGCAATAATTTACTATAAAAATATTTTCCTTTTTTTACCATGACAAAATTTGTTTCATTTTGTGGCGCTCATTCTGGTTTTGACTTTCATAAGCTGAAAGTAAATATATGTATGTATGTATATATATTTTTTTCTTATTACTATTATAATTTATTTTATTTTGCTTTTGCTTTTCCACATTTTTGCATTTATTTTTATTTACTACACTTTGTATGCTTGTCGCTGGTTTGCTTTTGGCGTCGCATTTGCCGGTTGATTGCAATGCGAGATTTTATCATATCGTGGCAACCTGGCTTACTGACACCAAGCCAGCGGTGTGTTGTAATCAAGCGCGACATGCCGAGCGGTTAAAGTGCTGTATGTACAAATATACATAAGTAAATATGTATATATGTGTGTGCGCATAAATATTGCATCCAACTTGATATTGCGAGCACACACACACACACACACACACGCACACAACCACACAAGCATTTGCATCAAGCATTTAATCACTCCAACAAAGCCAGGCTACATGTTGTTGTTGTTGCAACGACAACACATCTGTGTGTGCGCAGCTTAATTACAAAACGGCGCTAAATTGTGGTCGACAGGTTCTTATTGCCGTACTATGAACAATAATAATAACAACATCAACAACAACATTGTAAGTTGCTGCTGCCACAAAACAGCATAAGAATTTAATATTTATAAATATTACGTATTTATACATTCGTTCACGTAATATTACAATGCATTGCGACCAAACACACATACACACATACATACATTCGTAAGCAAACATATTAACTTGTTTGTCTGCGGCTAGTTGGTCATCTGATATTGGCTGCTGCTGCTGATTCTCTCACAGCGACTGTT